TCTCCCCTCTCGCCCCATATTTGAAAAATAATTTGAGTAAATGAACAGGTAATCATTTGAAAACATGGCTTAATTGATTAAAGCAAATATTTATCATCATGTGTCAATATTTTCTCCTTTCTCTCTTCCCAAATAACTGGGAGAATTATACATTCATTCTCTTGCTATATCTGTCTCTCTCACACAAACTCTAACAGATATCAAAATTCAAGAATCATAGTTGACCACAGAGGAAATTATTTACCTATCTGGCTAAACATTTCTAAAGAGTCAAGATTTGAAGGTAGGATACCCTGGGATTGCCACCCAAGTGCTAAAAACCATCAGACAAGCAACTTAGAAAGGTGTTCTTTAGAAATCCTAACTGCTGGTATTTCTTTAGGATGTACACAGGAGAACTTTGTTTTCTCAAAAGAAAAGAAAAGCTGTATAATTAAGGATTGGTTAGATTGCTTAATTTTATCCCTTGATAGCTCATAATTTCACAATCAAGCTGATACATGACTTCATACTCAAGATATACCTGATCACCATATCTAGAGCCCAGGAATGTCCTGTTCTCCCTGACCAGTGAATCTCATTATTTGCCATCCCTGGTAGCAAACAAACTGCTCAATAAGGTGACCTGAAGCTTTTTGCTCTTCAGGAAATGATGACACATTTTAAAGATACTTTGAAAAGTTATAAATTCCTCCCCAAACAAGCCTTGATTTTGCTATTTTATATAAGGAACACCATTTTACTATGCCATTATATTTAATTTGACTTGAGCAGCCATGGAGTTTGGTATCCATGGGGGATTCTGGAATCAAACCCAAGTGGATACCAATGGCCCACTGGAATAACAACACAGCAATTTGATTCAAACCCTGGAATAGAAGCTCCACTTACTGTAATGGAGCTTTCAATAATATGGGTATAGGATTGCAGCCTTTTTTCCTTACATTGTTCTTCATATTTACAGTTATCCCTCCCAATTCATGGGAGATCTGTTCTGGACCCCGCCCCCCCAAATTGGGAAAATCACAAATATCCAAGTCCCATTGATTTCAATAGCAGTGCATGCCCATGCGTGCCATTTTGTTCCTCCCCACTTGCTGTCAGCGAAGGATCGAGGCTGTGGACTCCAAGTCTGCAAACGCAAGGGGGGGGGGATGAGTGTATATCCCAATCCCATTTATAAGAGGGCCAAGATAGTGGTTAGCTTATTTTATTCTCCAACAATCCTGTTAAAATTGTTAAGCAAAAATGTGTAACAAATTGAAGGTCACCAAAGCTAAGCCTTGTTTTCACCATGTTTCCTTGGAAGTTCAGCTAGTTCACTTCAATGGGATTCATATTAAAATCCACAAGATATTTGCTCAGTTGTTTTTTTGTTGTTATGTGCCTTCAAATCCTTTCTGACTTATGGAAACCCTAAAGCAATTCTATAATGGGGTTTCCTTTGCATTATTTGATCAGAGGAGGTTTGTCATTGCTTTCCTCTGTGGTTGAGAAAGTGTTACTTGCTCAAAGTCCCCCTGTGGTTTTCCATGGCTCAGCAGGTTTTGAACTTTGGTCTTCCAGAGCTCTCGTTCAGTACTCAAATGAACACTTCACACTGGCTTCCAATATTTGATCAATATTGTATTTTAATTCAAGTTTCACATTCATTGATTAGGTAAATGTAAAGGTATTTCCCATTGACAAGAATGTCAAGCTGTGTACAACTGTAGGGGGCTGTGCTCATCTCCGTTACTAAGCTGAAGAGCCAGCGTGGTCAGAGACAACTCAGTTATAATGTGGCCAGCATAATTTGCACAGAACGCTGTTTACTTTCTCACCGAAGTGGTACCTATTTATCTACTTGCATTTGCATGCTTTTGAAATGCTAGGCTGGCAGAAGCTGGATATAGTGACAGGAGCTCACCCCATCATGCAGCATGCATTGATTACCAAGGGAAAAATCAAATCCTACCAGTTCTGATTTAGAAACTTCCAAACTAGACTTGATAAGTCTTCAGGAGAGATTAATAGCTATGCTTAAATACAACTTCAATCTATTATTAAGCATTTAGAAACAGATTGCTGTTTACTGATCTTGGTTATATTTTCAAATATAATAATAATAATAATAATAATAATAATAATAATATCTGTTAAGTCCTGGTATTTTGTATTCAATAGACACGACTATTTAGTTCATGAATGCACTAAAAGCAGGCCTTTCTGCCATAGACTAAACCTGCCCTCTGATCCAGAGAATAAATGTTGCAATGCTCATATAACTGTAGCAGAATTTGCCTCAAAGAAGGTATTTGCCTCAAAGAAGACCATCAACTGTAACCTATGGTTGTGGCTATGTCAAGAGTTGCGAAACATTAGTGTTTTCTATTCAATTAAACTACACTATGCTTCTACATTTGACACATTACATTAGACAGTAATTTAATGTGTACATTAAATTAAAATACACATTAATGTGTATATTTTATATTTAAATATTAAACTTACGAAACATGGCAAAAACAGTGACCTCTTTCCAACTTACTCAAAAGGTTATGAAAAAAATAACATTAAATGCTACGGAAACCATTAATATTATTATATTTTTAATAACCAAAATAACTTTTTAAAATTTTGATAACTTTAATAAATTGGGAGTAATGACTTCTAACAAATTATTTTCCAGCTGTAATGTGCCTATTTGTTTGGAAAAGGCATGTAGAAATGGTGCAGGTGACTGCTGAATTCAGCTTAATTTTGGTGAATGATCTAGATAGGACCAAAAGAAAGGCATAGTACAATTACCAATGTGGATAGTATCATTATGCAGGTTAATCAGTAGGTAGAGGCAGGAGTTCCTGTGGTGTTTTTTTTTGTCGTTGTTGTTGTTCTGATTGAAGAAAATGGAAAGTAAAATTCTTCCCCAGATTCTTGAGTAATGTGACTGCAATTACTTCTGTAGCATAAAATGAGAAACCCTGATGAGGCTATATGCTTATGGAATGGGCCACTGGTGCAAGTATATGAACATGTCACCAGTTTACATAATAAAGAGGTATCCAAAACTTCTTTATGCAAATATTCCCGCAGTTGTGCAGCATTCTGTATGTTCTTGGAATGACATGAACATAGTTTCTATCTCACCCCCTAGGTCTGCCTGTCTCAAGAGTTACACAACTGAAGAGTTATGCTATTTCAGCTCTCAGCAAGGTCTCAGCCAAAGAAAATAGCATATTTCCGTACAACAGAAGCCTTCAGCTTTGATAATTCTGTAGCTTGGCCTAAATGAGAGGAGGAGGAAAGACTTTTCATATAGCTACAAACATCTATAAGGATAAAGAAATAATTCAAATAAGTTAATTCCTTTATGTTCTAAGGAAAGAAGCCAAGACCACAGTTATGTTCTAAATCCAATAACTGAACTAAGTGATTTAGGAGATTATCGCACTACCTTTAAAACACATTAAAAAGAGACTTAGCTCACCCAAACTAAGTAAAATTCAGTCTGCATCCGGATGCTATCGCATGGATGTTCCCCGGAAAAACTGCCATTGGAATGCAGCCTCAATTCAGCCAGACTGACTTAACTCACTCTGGCGACCATTTTTCTAAGTCAGAAAGTTCCGACTTAGAAAAATGGCTGCCAAAGCAAGTTAAGTCAGCCAGGATGAATTAGGGCTGCATTCTGATGGCAGTTTTTCAGGGAAAATCCGTGTGATAGCATCTGGATGCAGCCCAAATTTTACTTCAATTTGGATGAGGTAAGTCTCTTTTTAATGCATTTTAAAGGTAGTACAATAATCTCGTTAGAATCAACAGAAGTAGTGACAGTAAGTAGTGATTTACAGTGAATAAGTAAATAAGTAACACAGTAAGTAGTGACTCATAAAGAGTTTGTCCACTTGGGCCAAAAGGCGTGACTTCCCCCTGGCTTCGCACTGTCTAGCTTAAGTGACACAGGTCTAAATACCCATGACGGGATCAGGCCCAATCCTGCCTATCCAGAGGATCCAGCATCACCCCAGAGTAAAGGCTCTTTTAAAAGGTAAAGGTTTCCCTTTGACACAGTTGTCAAGTCGTGTGACTATAGGAGGGAGTGCTCATCTCTGTTACTAAGCCAAAGAGCCAGCATTGTCAAAGACTACTCTGTGATCATGTAGCCAGCATGACTGCACAGAACACTGGTATCTTCCCAATGAAGTGGTACCTATTTATCTACTTCCACTTTTACATGCTTTCAAACTACCAGGTTGGCAGAAGCTGGAACTAGTGATGGGAGCTCACTTTGTCACACAGCACTTGGGTCTCGAACTGCTGACCTGCCTACCTTGCAATTGTCAGAGTCAGCATCTTAACCACTGACCCGCCACCCCAGGGTTCTTTACCCCAGGGTAATTAAACTCTGATTTTATGCAGAGGAGATTATTCACCAAAAAACAAACAAACAAACAAAAAACAACACACTGAAAATGTGACTTACCTCTCCTGAATTCAAGTAAAATTCAGGCTGCATCCAGATCCTATCGCATGGCTTTCCTCCCCCAAACCACCATCCGAACGCAGTCTGAATCACTTAACTCACTCCAGTACCCATTTTTTCAAAGTCTGAAGCCTTCTGACTTTGAAAAATGGCTGCTGGAGCAAGTTAAGTGACTCGGGCTGCACTTGGGCTGCATTCAGGTGGCGGTTGGGGAGGGGGTGAGCCATGTGATAGGATCCAGATACAGCCCAAATTTTACTTGAATTTGGGAAAGGTAAGTTATGTTTTCCAAGGTTTTTTTTAGCTTGTGCGATAAGCTCCAGAGTCTGTGGCAAAACCAGACTGTTCAGAAACACACACACACACACACAATGGGAGTATTCTTAGTAACTGCTTCTAGACTCTTTAATGCCTTCTTGAGGAGGTTAGATTGTCCCTTTCTATTGAATTTCTATTATCAGGCAAATACTTTTTTTTTATCCTGACAGGCTATGAAGAACTGTATTTAAGAAAGGATATTCTGCACTGCTTATGAGAGCCAGCTTGGTGTAGTGGTTTGAATGTTGCATTATGACTCTGAAGACCAGAGTTCAAATCTCTGCTTGCCCATTCAGCAAGTCATATCTCTTAGCCTCAGATGGCAAACCTGCATCTGAACAAGTTTTGCCAAGAAAATCCTGTAACAGGTTTGCCTTAGGACCTTATCACACTCTGGCCACGAAGCGAAAAGTAACCAAAATA